TTACAAAATACTAATTTCAAAATATTCTTATCGATTAAAAAGTTTTAATATGAAAAATTACACAAAAAATTGTATTCAAAAACAGAAACGTAATGGTTTTTGAAAATTAATTTCAATAAAACAACAAAAAATTAAAGGCCTAAAACTTGAAAGTTAACATCAGATATCAACAAAAACAATTAGCACTATATTAAAGATACGGAACCATCGTCGGCTAGCATCAGCCGGCGCCACTGTAAACAGGCCAGGGTACGTGAGTTGACTTCCATCAGACAGAAAAATAACTAACGTAAGCCAACGTGCACCTGTTCAAAGAGGATTGTTTAGAGAAGCGACGCACGAATCACAAATAGCGTTACAGAAGCTATCGGCTTTGCACTGATATAGAAGGGGATATTTGTTTATTATGATATATCAATATGGTATAAATATTAAAGATTACATTCCAAAGTTATCAATTAACAGGATTTTTTTTTCTCTAAACTATTGTTATTATGAGAAAAAATAGTTTTGAATTATAAAGAGATGTAAGGCTTTTGGGAGTATTAATTTAAATGGGACTAATATTTGCGGATAATTATGCTTATTTTATTATTTTTAAAAACTACATACTCCCGACGTACCTATCTCGAGTTTCCCGTGTTTAAAAAAATTAGAATAAGCGTAGCAACCCGAAAATAGTAGTTTCTTTAAGTTCTGAATTATGTTCAAGTATCTGAGAGGACTTAGAATTTTATAGGAATTGACATAAATAAAACTATTAACCCAGAATCGATTCAAAGACAATTAATCTAAAGATTTAAAAAATAGGTTATTATTTTTTATATAGTAAATATAATGTTTTAACGAATATTCTATCTTAATAGTAACCAAGTAACGGGGACGCGCGGACGTAATACCGTGTTTATAGATTAACGAAGATCGTTCCAGTTAACCGAATTACATGTCGAAATAGATCAGTTTATAAACTTTCTTTGATAGGATTCAGTGTAATGTAAGCTTTAGATGTTTTTGGTGCAACGACGTATACACAATGTTTTCATAAGACTCCATCACGATGCATTTCTTATCTTTTATCTTATATTTTAAAAGATAAGTTCATTGTTGTGTAATACTAATAGTTAGTCAACAATTTTTAAAGGACAGAGTAAAAGATTAGAATGGAGAGTTTTCCGTCACTAGGTGTGTAACAGCTTCAATGATAAGATAAGCCCTTTCAGGTGTGTCTTAAAATAATAACTCGTAAACAGTTCATTGACGTAGCGTTTATTTTCGTCTTACAATGCCTTACAATGTTAGTTAGTTTATTTTGATGTGATTTTGTAAGCCATGGATTCCAAATCGATTACTGATTCTTTTTCTTCTTCTACCTGGCAATTTCCCAGCTTTAGCCAGGGTCTGCCTTACATCATACATGTTTTTTTTTAAATAGTTTTGGCTAATTGTTTTTACGACCGGCCGCCTGCCTGACATCAACCCTCTTTTGGGAATGTATTAATCAGTGATGTCTAAATATTCTTAGAAAGTACATATGACTCGGAAAAATCACATTGGTACTTGCCTGGGTCAGGATCGAACCCGCGCCCTCGTGCATGAGAGGCGGGCTTCTTAACCACTGGACCACTGATTACTGATTCCTCCTTATGTAATTTATTTAGCTATTAAATTAAAACGACAAATGATTAAGACCATATAATTACAAATCTAATAAATAAATGTATTTGAACTCCGGTATGGTTTAATTATGATTGAGTCTGACGGCCGTTGTGAATCGCTTATTGCTGGTTAATCTCCAAAGGTATTTCAAATCGGTGGTCAACTACGTGACGCTAGTAATAAATCAAAGTTGTAAACGCTACAAGAAAGATTGCTGGTCATGCAAACAATTTTTTTATTTGTTATCAACGCTTCGCAGTTGAACATTCCAAGTCTTATAAATATAAAGCTCTCAGCATTATCCTTGTACCTCTGGCACACATATAAAGTACTCGTTTTTCTGCATTCTTCGCTCGTGCCAACAATTCACGCTTTTTCCTCCAGCCCACAGCTCGCTCCAGAATTTCATGCGATAAGGGGCGTATAGAAAACAATTTGTTTAAACGTCTGTCCTGTGCACTAATGGTGTGACTAATTTGGAATTTTACTTTATAACGACAATCTAACTAATGATTTGTCTCTTCATACTTTTTCTCAATATCCAACAAATAAAAAGCTAATATTATTGTATAAATTTTTTTATATTATTTGAGTATTTTTTTAATTGTGAACTTCCACGAATTTCACTTACACACAATCTATTTTTGGCGTCTACACAGGATTAATTACTCAAACCTTTTGTTCTTTTGGTATGACTTTTGTATATATAAAAAAATTTAGTACCTTTAAAATTAAAAACAACAAAATATATAAGAAATACTCTCGAATATCTTCCACATGCAGGTATTTTAATGTATAATGGATGCTGTATAGGATCCGTGGATATTTTTTTGTCTCACCTCAACTCTGTAATTACGTCCACATAAATTGGATCAATTTATCAGAGGCCGTTGGAATTTCTATCAGCGTGATTGAAATATATTATAATATGAAACATATTATTTTTAAGTCGATCTTGAATCTGTATATAAATTAACTATTTTGTTTTTTTGAAGAATTTTTAACTTTGAAGAGTTTAATAATGCAAAACAAAAGTATTGAAATTAAAACATCTAATTAATAATATGCTTTTAATTAACAAAAACCACATCCAAATTGTCTAAGTAGTTTTCTTATCGACAACCACACATAAATACATTATAATGGAATTCTTTTTTGAAGTATTTTAATAATTCATTATATAACCTCAAATATTACTATTTGCTCAATAAGTATATACCTAGTTAGTTTTTTATTGCAATAAAATAAAAAAGCTAACCAATGCTTAAACAAAAGTGTTCTAGCCTTGAGAAAGTAAAAGTTATACCTACTTACGTTCTACAAAGCGAAAGCCCGCTCTCATATTATAAAGAACACTGTGAAGGTTAATTGATGCAATCTAAAATAGTCTACCATCTGGAACTATAGAACCTATATATATACGTCGCTAAATATTAAAATATTGTATGTATAATATAGGCAATGTCATTCTTCTTAAGTTTTCAGGGTTGTCCAAATAAGAACCGAAAATTCGTATAAACATAGTGAGGTACCTAAACTAAAAACGATATAATTTAGAAAGTATTATAAGCAAAATAGTGTTGCAGACTAAAAACCAATATAACATAAGAATGATTTCTTCTAAGTAGAATTAGTAGTGGTAGAGTCTTTCTTTACTTATTATGGCTAATGCAACAGTCACATTAAATTTAATCTTTTCATATCTACGTTAATCGATTATATTGATGATAAAAGTCTAGGGTCAATCAGTAAGTTCAATTTTATAGTTATAAATGACAGACAGGTAAAGGTTATTTAAGTAGCTTCAAACGAGTTTTTTGTTTATTGGTACAATAGCGTCATCGGCCGACCCTCGACCTGATGATGTACAGAATATATACGAAAATGAACTTTAATTTCTTCATTTTAGGTGCTGTTTTATAATGATAAGAAAATAAGGATGGCTTACCACAAATGAGCCCACACCGTTAGTGAGATACCACTGTCGCCAGACATCGTTTTGACAGATTTCAACAAAATACTTAGTGGATACCTACAATTCGTTATATCGTATATAAAACGAAAAAGTATTGACAATTTTATTTGCTTCAATTCAACAGTAGCTTCAAAATAATAGAATGAATTTCTTTAAACAAAAACCAAGGTAACGTTCTTCGTATGTACTTAAATGAATAAGTCATAAGTCCAATGACTAAACCCATTCTGACTAAGCACTGTGATTACGACTTTGATTAGTTAATGTCCCTATGTAGCTGTTATTTATTTAATTAGCGTTATATATTGGTAGCAAAGAATATTATTAATTTTATTATAACTATATCTTACGACTTAAATAATCCTTATATCCTACTTATAATGTTAATACGAAAGTTTGTTGCTCTTTCACGAAAAAAATTCTAAACAGATTTTAATTAAACTCTACAGTGATTTTGCTTAAACATCAGAATAAGACAATGGCTATAATTTATCCTGAAATTCCGTATGGTTCCTCTAGGTTGACAGCATAATAGTTGTATTTGACTTGACGTCATATGAGATAGACTAAGGTGCTAATTAGTTACCATAACAATGGTTTCAACTTTTAAAATACTTTACATATTTCTCTTCGAGATAAACCCAGCAATTCATACGGACGAGGTCGAGGGCAAAAACGAGTAAGAAATAAAAAAGATATCCATTACAAACTGGACAATCATTCACACAAACATATATTAAGTACGTATACAACCAATGACTTTCTAAGAATTGCCACATGCCTATACAGGATTTATCTTTATTTGCTGTATAAATATGTGCCAATATTATAAAAACAAATAGAAAGAAGTCAAATACATTTGTCCTCTAAAATGTTTAGTACGCAAAATGCTAATAGCAAATCTACTATCAGCTTTGTGATAATAACCTCCATTTTCTTCTATACTTAAATGTTTATTATTTATTTAAAAACTTTATTGTCTAACTACACACGTACATACAAAAGGTGGACTTAATGCCTGAAGGCATTCTCTGCCAGTCAACCCTTAGGCTAAGCAGAAAAACATGAAGACGGTAGCAATATGTAAAAGTAAAAATATACATATAAATTTCTATTAATATATAAATAATATATACACATACATATATAGATACATATACATACACATACATATACATACATGATACACACATACCAATATATATACAATATATACCAAAAACAATAATAAAACAGAGACTTAATACAGATTCTGAGTAAAATGTTCCTGTAAACGACGCCTGAAAATTGCCCTTGTAGGTGCCTTGTTATTTTTACAACAAATGTTATTTTTACATATAAAAAACTAAGCAAAAAATACAATACGTACCTGAACAGCGCTATTCAAGAAGCAATTATTCTGTCCCGGGCCGTTCCAGAGGCCTTTAGTTGTGTGAAAGATGCCCGAATCCCGGGAGTTATCCCGTGAATGTTGTGGTCTTAGTTCGTCGCTGTGCCCATAGATATCATGAGCGGGGGGCGCCATGGCCATTATAGATCACGTGCCTTACTCCTGACTGACATGTTGACGTACCTGAAAATTACCTATTGTTATATTAATGTGACCTTTAAGACGAGAAACTGGTTATTGGTAAACTTCTCTTTGTACTTATTGACATATTCAATGTCTTCGAAGCTTAGTGTGAAATATATTTAGTTTGTTTAGCTGGAATTTTGTTAGTTTGCTCCAACTTGGTGCGATTGATGGATGGAAAATGACGAACAATAGGTTTCTCGAATTACAAACAGCTTTAATGAATTGAAGTTTCCATTGAATCGCACAATACGATAACGGATCTCCTTACATTATGGAAACTTCGTACATTTGATTGATTCTGAACTGTAAGCTTAGCATAAGTTTGCATCGTAATACTACATACGGAGATTTTCCAGTTTATCTTCCAATAAACTATGTTAATAAACTATATGAAAATGTATGAATGAAAAAGTATTAACGCTCAGTATTCAGTGCCATGATGCAAATATTTGGTAAGTATGCTGAATGTACATAATTTTATCATTCGCTCAATTATTTAAATACTTTAAAAATAATTCAGTTTTATGAAACAAATTACAAAAACCACCTAATTTACGTGTTAGTCGAAAAATATGTATATAGAGATATGTTGCATGGATCTTTATAGTTTGGTTAGTATTTTAGATGATTTAAAATTATTTTCCTACACCAGCTTTCAAAACTGATATTGCTATTTTTTTTGTTAAATCTTTATCTAGGTATCCGAAACAATAAATTGGATTTAATGACAATATATTTTATGAATCTAGATTTACAGTGTTTAAAACGCAATCTGATCTGTGATTATTTATATTTTTTATGACATACCCTTTTGAGAGTTATGTCTTAACTACAAATAATATTAGGTACACATATATAAATAATACATTCATTAATACATATATTTAACACGTTGCATAATAATAGTACATACTTCTCTACTTTTATATATCCATTATATTAAATACATATAACCTTGTAATAGACACGCACATAATATTAATAATTTATTTATTACATATTGGAATTATCGATAGTTAGACATGTTTTTCTATGTATTGAGAAATCACATTGTAATTGCTTGGTACTATGTGCTACGAAACAATGTGTAAATACTGATTTCTACGCGCGACTTCACTCGTACATATATCATTATATGCATATAATAATTTAAGTTTAGTGAAAATTTTAATAATTTAAAGAAGTTAATTGCAAAAAATATACATATTTAAAAAAATATTTATATACAATAGTTTCAAATTAATTAAAACTTACATTTAGTCAGTTTGTGCGTCTAGGATTTTGTTTGCTTTATTATTTTTTTAGTGTTTTGAAAAGATCTAGGTTCTTATATTATAAAGTTTTTGGACTTATTGAACGATTTATTACGTAAACAATGAAATCGTATTACGTGTAAGCTTAAATTAATTTTTAATATTATACAACATAAATATTGATTTTTTTACATTAGAGATTAGGTTTCGACTATAAACATCATTGTTATGAGTAACAAATAACATGATAACTGTATGGTTAAAGACGAGGAATGTGGCTAGATGTGGCTGGCGGTCATTAGGTAGTCAGGGGACACTTGAGATGCCTTAATGAGTGCCCTTACCTTCCTGCATTCCCCACTAATACTCATATAGCAATACCACGAATTACATCTGATTCTTTGTTCATTATGAAATATAAAACCAATTTAATTAAATATATATACGGCTACTTACATCTATTATAAGAATAAAATGTAGTATATTATAGTCTAGTGCTAATTATGTTTCAGGAAAGTAAAATTATAACTGAAAATAATTACTTCAGTTTTAATTAAATATCTTTCAAATTATGTTTAAAACTGTATCATTGAATATTATATAAGAAAATGTATAACAATGGTCCAAATGAAGAATTAATCAAGAATTGTTTAATTTAAGGTTATATTAATTTAAGTAATAAATGCAATAATAATAAAGGAAAACGGGAAGTGAATCCACGTCTCTGTAGGTCAACTCGAGGTCATTTCAAATAAATGGATAGTAATAATACATCAGTTATCGCCTTTTTAATACTATCGACTATTATAATGCTCTGTTTACATACGACTTTCCTAAATACAAGTTGCTGTTTACGAATAGTAAGCTTACCATAAGTTCGCACTATCACACCGGGTACGAATCACTCTACGTTTCTCTTTTAAAAGCGTACGTCAATAATATAATGTTATATTTGAGAATGAAAACTACTTAGCAACGCTAATTATGTCGTGTCACGAATAAAACTTCAAACTTGTGGTAGCAGAGATTTAAATCACTTCCGATCCGTCGATATCGATAACTTGATGAAAAACGAGGTTAATACATAAATATCACTTACGCGAACTGATTTCTACAGCATTTATTTTAGTATAGCTACATACAGACGGAAGTCTGTTATGTGTGAAGGAATTTCTCAATATAAACAAAATGTCTATAGGATATGGTGATAAATTTTAATGTCATCGTTATTTATTGACATATATATTATATTATTATGACAAATATAACAAGGTATATATGTTTTTTTGTAATAAAAGTGTAGACAGACGGAATAACGTGATGTTACGAACTTTAGAGGAATTTTTAGTTATTAATTTTGTATAGTATCTGAGTAGTACATATGAAGTTTAACGTTGAAAAAGCCAAGCAAATTGAGAAGGATTCGTTTTTCTATAAATTAAGGAAATTTACCTGACTACTGAAAGGTCTTATTATATAGGAGTGAAATGTCTTACAATTTTCTAGTTAAAATATTGAAACATTGAGTAAAAAAATTGTATAGTAAAATAAATAATAATCTTCAATATAATTTGTTTATTGGTCTCTATAATTTCATTAACCGATAATAACTCAATTTACTCCCAAATCGGACATCTGGTGACGCTTATTATATGCCTTTATTACTTCTCAGATGTTGTTGTAAATCTCATCGGAAGCCCAATTAAATATCGACTGGAATTTGAACCAGTTTCTTAAACCGGAGACATCTTACGTCATTATTGAAAAGAAATCAGATTTTTTCCCTCTCATACCAGTAGTTTAAGCGAAAAGGAGGTACAAACATGCATACATCCTTACAAACTAACGCATTTATAGTATTAGTAGAATATTATAAGTACAAATTGATTTTCTTGTCTAACGTGTATATGTATTAGAAATAATTATTTTAAAATATAAGAAACAAAATATAAAAAAATATAATGCTAAAAGATCGAATTTCTCAAAACAACAATCTATGATCTACAATAATAAAATTATTATATTCGATGACGAATTAGTTTCAATACCAGACTCAAAATAAATCGACATCCAAAATTGTTATAAACCAACAACTTAACTTTTTGTAAACCATTTAATTTAAAAAGCACCGTGATTGTGTGAAATGAGACGATAATTTCACAAAAACTGTTCTGAAGAGGTTCCACGTTTTAGTATTATATTTTATTGGACATTTTTAAGTCTTAGCTCTCAAGTCTCAAGTGTTCCATTAGTTATAAATTATTTCAAACGATAACCTTAAAAGCTTTCTTATAACTCTTCAAGTGGCCACGTTAAAGTTCAATGCTATATCTCTTAACGTTCCTTGAGCCATGGCTTAGTTTTATTGACATTTCACTGACTTTCTAATCCTTTTATTTATTATTAAAATACTCCAAAGAAAACGAGATAATCTATTTAAATTTTTAATTGAAAACTGTATATTATTTTTAACTGTTTGGCTTTAAGTTTTAAAAATGGAAATTTGTGAATGACTTTTCGAAATAAAACTTTACGTTCTATACTACATACTATTAGAAGACCCGGCGAACTTCGTATCGCCCTATAACCAAGAAATATCTGTTACGTTTTTTTATTTATATTTTTGGAGTTTACCTATTAAAGCCATAAATTTCCGTGTTTTGAAGTGCGACAGAATGATTGACATATTAGTTACTTGTCAAATCTAATGTCAAAATCGGTCCAGTATTTGAGAGAAGTTCAGTGACATACACACTTACAGAAGAGTTATATATATAAAGATGTGTCATATATATTCAGAGACCATAAAAACTTTTATTTTTATACCTAATATATTATGATTTGTATTTGTTTAGAATATTCGTAAAATATATGTATATAGTTGTTAGTCACGTAACATGTTCGTGAGATCATTTTTTTTTGTTTTCAAACGTGATCAAGCTACTACGACGTGTCACTGTCAAAAGTTTCGGGTTGCTATTATAAAATAAAAAAAAATTCTTTACATAACAATTACATAAAAATTGCCAAGTTAAAAAAATTATGAGGTAGGTTAGACATAAGGATTCGAATGACTAATAGTACAGCAATTATAATACAATAATAATAATTAATCATAATACTTAATTTCCAATAATGCACTTATTTATTAAGTCTAATTAAGCATTATTTCTTTCTTTCAAACAAGTTAATCTCCTGAGTTGATAAAAATAGTAGTAGTAATAATCACGAAAATTATTTTATTAGTAATACATGACACTCTAAATATAACAGAATTGACAGAGGGAATCATTAGCAAAAAGATTAAAATTCAAGGTGAGCAAGTCATAGAAATTTATATAAGACAGATTACATGCTATAAATGTTAAAAATATAAACATACATATTATATTTATTGATATTGTTATAATTTATAAGAAATATAAAATATTAAATTATTAATTTATGTCTTTGTAAGTAATCACTGTACTTTTTCGTTCAGTAAGTACTTATTTCTAAACTCATTATATATGTATCTTTAATAATAATATGAAAAGGATATTCTAAGCCTTTCATTGTTGTTACTCGGAGCTATCAACGGAACAATTTTAAATCTGGAACAGGGTTCGTGCTAAACACACATACATACACGTAAGCATGTAAATGTAACGCACACAACAATAATACGTGACACAAAAGGAGCAAAACCGGAGGCTGCGCGTG